CCATAAAATAAAGCAGCATGACTTTTCTCTTATTCCCTTATTTTCATACTCTACTTAGTCTTATATGACAGCTAATGTGAGCTTAAATATTAACAATGTAAAATTAAACAGTAGGAGAGCAGCCATTGATTTAGGGGAAATGTGCCTCTAAATCACCAAATGGGCAAAATGGCGATGTTCCGTAGACTAAATGAAAGTCCAGCTTTTTCCATATCCTGGGAAAGGTTTTTATTATTGTTGTTGCAGAGAGTTGAGCTTCAAAAGGTTAACTTAAAACATTTAAAAACATTTTTTTACAGATTAAAGCAATTAATTAATTATATCATTAGTGATATATAGAGGTTCAAGTATACAGATTTGTGAATTTTGGACAGAAAGCTATCTGTTTCTTGCTGCCTTTATTCTTAACGTTGAGCTAAGCTAATGGCCTCCCAACTGATGCTCAAAAAAAGCAAATCAGTGTATATCCAAACATATGGAACGATTCCTTTAAAACAAAAGACCCAACTTGTGTTGTCCCTCTTCAGTATATTCATTTGGTGTTCTTTAGTGAGTCAATGCATCATTTTCTATTATCATAAATTGTCTTAAAGGGGCCCTATTGTGCTTTTTTGTGATTTTCCCTTTCCTTTAGTGTGTTAAATAGGTTTCTGTGTATGTAAATGGTCTGTGAATACTACATTTCCCAAGTTCCCTCCAGAGAGAGTTTCTCTCACTCGCGCTTCACATTTATATGCGAAGGGGCGGGACAGCTCTAAGCGGTTGACCAATCACAACAGAGCCGGCCAGCTAACCAATCAGAGCAGACTCGGCTCTGGTTTCAGACAGAGGGTGAAAAGAGGTGCTGCAGTGCAGGCAGTAGGACAAAAAGAAAGACCGTTTTGAGACACAAAATTCAAATATGAACCTGGAAATAAGCCCATTTATATACCCTTTAATAACATCTGCCATTTGAAGCCACTTTGCAGTAGTACACCTGTTGTTGAAGTCATGCAGTTATATATGTATCGTAGAAAATGTCAAAAATGTTTTTTCGACAACTTCAGGGCAGCCATTATGTCCATGAATTTCAAAATGCCAGCCTTGAAAATGCCAACTTAAAGTTTTAATTTCTTTATACAAAGTTACTCACCCTTTAATTGATTCAAAAAAGAAAGACAAGCCACGAGGGTATATCTCCATCAAGGACTGACAGCTTATGCCTCCATGACTGACTACCAGTGTAGCCATTCAGCATATCGGTTCTAAAATCTAGTGCGGCAGAAACGACCAAAGCGATGAAATTCCCCGGGGGCTGAAGTGGTTTATCGACTAGAAGTCTGGACTCTCAAGACTGGGGCCCTTCCGTGCGACTGACCAAACATTGACTTGAATCCTTAACTATCCTGCGTCGTTTCCTCTTGGTGTTCTGTGCACTCTGTATTATGCATTCAGAGACTCATGCTGGAAGAGTTGCATGTAACAGCACTGACTGTAGCCGCCCGAGGGACGTCAAGACAAGTAGCTCTCCTACATGGCCGCCTCCCTGACTGACTGACTGTCTCCCTGATTGTCTGACTGACTGCTAGCTAAACGGAAGGTCACTGATCTACCATGCATCTCCACAGGCTTCACTGCGCAGCCCGGCTGAATAATTTATATGGCAGATTTTTAGGAGATTTGAGGGAAATTACCTTGCATTGATCCTGTTAGTTGAGAGAAGAAGAAGAAGAAGAAGAAGAAGGAAGGAGTGAGGGGGGGTTGACAGATCATAGAGGATTGAGAGATGAATATCTGTGAGGAGAGAAAGTTTATGTGTTTATTGGGTCGATTCAGACATCAATAACAATGCGATTACTGGTTCGGACAAAGAGTACGGATACATTCATTAAAAAAATGTGTCAGAGCTGATTTTGATCACAGCTTCTTTTTGAATCAAATGTATTGCACCAATCTTCATAGAACTTGAATTTGCAGGATTATGAGTGGTATGGAGTTAATAATTGGTGGCTGGCTCCAGAGGGAGAATTGTTCCTCTACCCGGAGCAGTGATTTATGCAGCGTGGGAGCAGCTTCTCCCCGGCCAATCTCCCAGATCTCTTTGTGGGAACATTTAGAGCCTTTCACTCGAGCTCTGATGTACAGAGGTGAAATTTAAAGGGGCTTAAGCTCTACATTATTCTCGAGTAATCACATTATCTATAGCCTCAACTCTTGCTCTGACCCACACAGACTCCTCTTCCCTTTTACACATCTCTCACATCCTGTTAAATCCAATTTTGGTTTTAACGCCCTTCTCATAACTAAATCAACAAACACGGGCCAAATGTGCTGTATGTTTCTCCTTGACGGGGTCACATGACAAGTTTTATCAGACATTGATCACTTTAAAGATTCTCTTGGATTGTTGTGTTAACAGGAATGCTCCATCACAAGACAGCAGATAGTAATCTTGTGACCTGTGTGTGTGTCTTTGTGTGTTTGTGTGTGACTAGAGACCTTGAGACAGCAAATCCATTTAGACTAATTGTTATTGTGCTTGAGAGTGAGATCTCAGACCCAGAAGGGAGATAGCTTGATACGTGGAACAAAAAACGGAATTTTTCTTGCGTTTATTTACTCAATACGTTTGTTGTAGTGATTTCCATGTTTTCTTAGGAGTTGTATTTTGACTGTATCGAAGGCTAATTGCTAACATTGCAGTTGTATCTACTTTGTTGTACATGTAAATAAAAGATTATGCAATGACAGGAACATATTGTGCAAGTTTGAAACTGATCTGGACGTCCCCACAAGATAATGAGCTCAGGAACAGGGGGGGGGGCAACCTTCATACGGCAAAGTTAATACAATGCCTTGCAGACATGTGATTATTGTGAAAAATCCTCAGGAACACATCTGGACCTAATCACGTACCTAATATTTATTTTGCCTCAATAAAACCAACATGAAACCATGTTTCAGGACTTTAGCATCCATCCAAAAACATATTCAGAAACTGCTTGGATGTCATTGCTCGGCTCTTCTATGTTTTTTAAAATCTAGCAGAGCATATCCAAACAAAAACAATTTTACCATTTAAATAGCTAACCGCTAAACTTCCTGTGGACTTTGTTTGTGTTTGAGAAGGAAGTGAGATGGGATCATGTATTAACCGCTCTCTAACCAGTCTATGAGCTCCACTTTAGCTGTGAAATCAATTATATTCTTCACACCCTGACCTCCATACGAAAACACCCTCCAGCCCACCTCTGCATCCCCCGACACTTTAAAGGAGTTTTGATATCTCGCTGTGCAGTTTTGCACCCCCCCTCTTCACTCCAAAGATAAACAAAGCAAGGAAAAGGGCAGGGGACTTAAGGATGGTGGCTACTGGAACAGAACTCGGCGGACGCGAGCATTATGAATCTTTAATAAGAAGTATAAGCGCGCCAAGGAGAGGAAATGTGGTGAAAACATGATTATGGGCTCATGGGGAGGAAATGGTTGGTGGAGAGAGAAAGAGCGAAAGCATTATCAAGCATGGGGGGGGGATAATAGAATTGTTTTGAAGGACAAAGGAGGTATAAAGGGATAACATTTTCCTTTTAGAGCTTGCACTGCTTAAGGCAAAGGCATTTTTCGACCGTTTAACTGTACCAAGCTCTGAACAGAACCTCACAGTAAGTTTGAGGGCCAATACTGTGTATCCTATACTTTAAAACAGCTTTAGATTAACACCATTTACTTTGACATTTTTCTTGGCAAGTTGATTTAAAGCAGCACGAGAGTTTTTGGTCCAGATGTCAAGATAGAGTCCATAGCCTGTCTTGTGTTTAAGGATAATAATGTTTATAGCGATAGTGTGATGTCTTACACTTGTCACTGATACTGCAAATACAATTTTAAAGCCCTGATTCGATCTCCCGTGTTCAGCCCCCATTTGTCTCCTGCTATTGTTCCATGTTATCTCCTCGTCTTAAATTTGATACACTTTGAGATTAAGGTCTAGATAAATCAGTCAGCCTGTAGGTGTGTGTTCATTATGACTCACATTTTCTTCGAAGGTTGTTGCTGTCGCTTGCACCATTGCAGCAGAGATTGAAACAAACGAGACGAGGGTGTGGAAAAGTTGTAAATGCTGCTCTAAACAACACCATTTAAAGAACAAGGCCGTGAACCGTCTGAGTGAGTGTTGTCTTTCAGTGCATTTTAAAAGCTCTTCCTCCCTGGCATCTAAATTGTAAAGTTTGTAACAAAATGATTTGAGCTTTGTCACTCATTCTTAGCAATAACAATTGATAACACATTACACAAGTAAAAAATTGGTAGCAACCCATCCATGGATACAAGTTGGACAGTACTGTGTGTACAACTGATCCAATGACATACAAATAAGCCAGAAGCTAAATTGATGTAATAGTTTAGTGAGGTCCTCCCAACTGTCCGGGTCAGAAATCCGACTTCAGGGGGGTTTCAGTGGACATTTCGGATTGGAAATTCGGACTTCCCGGTACAAATTGAACACCCAATTGGATTAAAATATGGAGCCCACTCTGTTATTAGCCTAGCTTAGCATTAAGACTAAAACCAAGTTAGCCAGATCTCAGCTCTGTCCAAAGTAAACAAATCACCAGACAGTAACTCTAAAGCTCACTAATTAACACGTAATATATACTTTACGTTTCATCTGTTCACAAGCAAAACCTTAAAAACTGTCATCTGAGTCTTTGGAAATGTCAGAATTTGGCAAATTCTTCAGCTATTCATCAGGGGGTCCCGGCTTGTGTTACAGAAGTGCTGGGCACAAAGATAAAGAGTTTAAATAGTTATACCACGTACCTGAACTTGAAACGGAGTCATGCTAGCTGTTTCCCCGTGTTTGCAGTCTTTTTTTTGCTAAGTTTAGCTAATCGCTTCTTGACTGTAGCTTCTTACTCAATCAAGAATCAATCTTCTCATTGTTCTCTGATTATTGAGGCGCTCTTATTCTGTCAAAACAACACATTGACATCTCGTCTCTTCGTTTTGCTTTGTTACAGCTTTGATATCAGCCGGCTGCTGCACCAACAACTGTAGAAATGTCAAGCTATGGGACAGGTAAGAACTTCTCTCGACTTTGTCTCTTTTTTTAAATTTTGCGTTAATTAAAGTCTTTAGAAGAAGAACAGCCATTGAAGGTCATTGTGTTTGTCAAAATGACCACGAGGGGCCCTAATCCTGTAATTAGCTCCAATTATTCTATTTTAACATACAGACCTCTTCTTTTATACAAAATCTTTAAACATATTTACATTTAGCAGTTGGGTTTTAGGGTATTTGTGATCACAATAAGAAGTCTCTGAGTCAGGACCATACAAATAATAATCTGCTAATCATTAGGTGATCAACACAATATCTCGATTTATATTCTGTGGTGATCCCATGCCACTGCAGGGTCAGTCCTTGTGTTAGCCGAGCGTCCCAGCTCCAGATGAGTAATGTGTTCGTAAGCTTGTTCTGGCCCAAGTGTAATCACAGAGGCTCTACAGTGGGACTACGGAGCTAGAGGTGACCCAATCCTGTCCCCGTGCACCATCCCACATCTTCAATCAGGTCCCAGTGGGAGGGCGAGATGGCCGTGTTAATATTTAATAACTGCAAGACAAGACATACCTCCCTGCTAGCACATAGCCGCACCCCCCCTAGCCAGAACACACGCACATACAAATGTGCATAATTCACACACATATATGTGGTTCTCCCATATATGGTGACCCTTTCTCCTTAAGGTTGAAGTCTTCCTTCTTTTCTTTCTCATTCACATCCTCGTTGCTTCTGTGCCTCATAAAAACATATCAATGACTCAGGTGAGGAGCAGATGAAAGTTTACTTTATGTCAGTAGATTTGCGAGCTCAGAAGAAAAGCAAAAAAAGGATGTGCTAACAATGCAGAGTAAAAGCCGGGGCCCGTGGCCGTCCCTGGGTTCTCTGCTGTGGAGGAGACAGACCCAGGATCTGTCACTGATAAGCAACACAAAAGCCTGCAGTGACGTACATCATATTTACTTAGAACCACTTGCTTTCATATGATTTATGCTCTATATCTATCTATCTATCTATCTGTCTGAGACATTGTGACTGATGGCTTTATTTATGGTTAAATAATCATATTCTAATGCTTTATATTTCAGGGACAATCAAAGACCGTATCATAGGGTAGCCAGATTGTGAAAGATCCCTTTGGCAAATGGCAAAATCCATTTCTTAACAAGATATTACCATTAGCATTTGATGGATTATTGTAAGAATTGAATGTTGCCTTCAAGGTTGAATTCAGTATATGTGTTGGAGAGGTTGGTGACAGCCTCAGTAAGGCCTGATAGGAACTCCCAAAGGCTACCGTTGTAAAACCAAAACATACATTTTTTAGCAGATTATTCATATAAGAATGTAGCACACACATTGCACTAAATTCATTTTGTATTAATGAGCAATTTTTCGTTTGAATCAGCAGGGGGAGGTGGGTATAACCAGCTGTTCCCTTTGTCTCACTGACTCACCCTTTGCTTTCCTTCTTTGAGTTGGAAAATGGGCGGGAACAGCAGGAAGTTGTAATTACAATGAGGAAAAGCTAGCAGCACATTATTCTAGAATCAGTCAACTATTGGCAGGAGGTAACCAATCAGATTCGACTATGTCAATTCGTAGTCCGCGATAACCCTAACCCTAAAATGTAATGACATGTTTGTGTTATTCCAAGCATCAATAACAAGCCATTGAAAATGAATTTTCACTGTCTATGAAATCCTGTTTCTACCGGTAACCTAACTACTTCTTCTTTCCATAAGGCCCCACAAAGGTTACACATTATTAAAAACACATGTTATTTTTGTTCTTGTTCTACAGCTTTGATGCATCCTCTTGACCCACACCTGACCAGCTAGGCTCCTCATACGGAGGGGGGGTCACAGTGGTCCAGCCCTCCTGCGTCTCTGGCCTTGATAGAAACGAGGACCGCCGGACGCCTTCCTCCAGGACTGAGAACGGTCCGTCCTCCATGGCCTCTTCCATGCCCTGAAACTGACTGCCTCCATGTTTTCATTTCTACATATCGAGAGTTTGAGAGACACGGGGGGAGTTTTGGTGGAAATGCTATTAGTACGGTTGGTAAAACTCACGAAGACTGCCGCAGCTAAATGGATTAAAGTGGATATCTCTCCCTTCCAACTGTGACGTGGCTACCTCCTGGACAGTACCCAGAAAAAAGGGGAGAGACGCTGGGGGTGGGTGAGAGAAGATGTAAAGGACTGCACTGTATGTGCCACTACCCTCTGTTTACAAATGTTACACCATTGGTGGAGAAGCACATAAATGAAACTTTCTATACCCTGCCGGATTCATTTCCCCTCCCTGTTTATCCGCTCTCTGCCTCCCTTCCTTCATCTTCAGAGTGTGTAATGGGACTGGTGTAATCTAATGTTCTGTCTCTTGCTCTCCACATACAGCGGATCACGTGATTGCCAATGTCTTTAACGTTTTCAGCCATTTCAACTGAATTTAAAAACAAAAGCATATTTGTCAAAGATGTTCTAGCAAAGAAAAGAAAAAAACCTCTTCCTGTGTCTTAAACCGAGATGGTCATCATTACTAGCTGCTGACAGATGTTCTAGTTCTATAAGATGCAATGTTCAGGTGTAACTTTTCTTTTTTGTATTATCTTCTTTACTCCCTTGTAGCGCTATATTGAAGCTGGGGAGAAGATTATACATATGTTGTTTTTTACAAGGAAGTAAAGTCCAAGTAAAAAGTAGATTATTGGATTAGTTTTCTATATATCTATATATATAATAAAATATAATATGATTATTATTTTTTGACTTACTGGTATTAGAACTATTATATGAAAATGCATATGATATATCTATCAAATAATAAACAGACTTCTTTATGTAAAAGTGTATCACTTGTTTAAGGTTTTATTTCAGTGAACTAAAATGACTTGAGTGCGTGCAGCATTGACCCTGCAGCCAAAGGTCTCATTGGAGTGGTGTAAAGCCCATAAAAAAAATCTATAAATCAACCACAATGACAAAAAAAGGTGAAGAATAAGTTGTTTATCAGTTGTTGCAATATCTGTGCTGAAGAATAAACCAATTTCACTAAGTGCTATTAAAAAAACAAGACATTCTGATGAAGTTAAACATTAAAGCTCGAGCAAAAACACATCCTGACCACCACATGGTAAACATCACATGTTGCCGTGTCTCATCCTGTCAGTTGGGAGACAATAGAGTCAAACAGGAAAACATTTCCTGTTAAGTCACGGGGACTTCCTGTTCGCCCGTCACCTTCCCTCACATCCTGACCAACAGGCTAAATCCAGTTGTGCTCCAACATCTGCTACGCTACTAAGGACTTCCGACACACCGTGTGTGTGTTTAGTATTTGGTCAAATGGCAACGCTGAAAATGTATTTTCCACCAAAATCAATGCGCAAGTTAATTTCTTTACTTTAAAAATCCACAATCACACCCATTTCGCTGGCACCAAATGTATTTATTCCTAATGAATACGTTAATCTTTACAAACAGGTAATACATATTGTGTTTATTTTTAAATAATGACTGAATCATTTCCGTAAAAAGCTGGGCACTGTTGTTTTTAGAAAACAATACTACAAGAGTAACTAGCGCATTCATTGGGGACTATTTCCAGCTGCGGATTAATGCACATTGGGTATTTATTTGGTCTATTTGCTTGATTTGAAATGAACTAGTTCCCATGTTTCTTTTTAATGAGAGAACATGTAACGCAGTGCAAGTGTGGCTTTTTTGTTTGTATGTTTAAGCACAAAAACAGAGCTCTGCAGCACAGAGCAGTAAGATTCAGGCTTTGGCAGGCAATACTTGTTAGCAGGATCTATACGTTGTTGGTTTGGTCTTTTCATTGGATCGTTGACAAAGGGAGAAATATACAACACCACCATACTTTTTCATGGTTAGTATTGAAGTAACGTGTGTCGTTTTTATGGATATGGTTCTGTATGGGAACGCCCCCAAGAAATAAATGAATGTCAGCACAAGGTCGTCGCAAATACCAACGTGCATTAGGTCGTCCACTGGGCTGAAGTATTGACTGAGGCTGATCTGGTTTGATCTGATTGCTCAGAGTGATTAGGGTTTACTCTTTTTCCTCAGAAAATCTCTTTAATGAGGGTCTGTGCAGTGCTGCTATTTAAATCAGATATCTTGGCACTGCTGTATATTGTCCTCCTATGGGAAGAGTGATCCCCTTATCTGTAAAGCAGTGACTGTTGCAGTGCAAAGAAAGAAAGAAAAACATTGAAGATTTATATGTGTGTGCCTGTGTGATAAGGAGACGTTGCTTAGATGCAGAGGAAAATAAAAGTTATTTTTGGTGCTGTTGTGGTAGATTATGTACAGTAGTAAGAAAAAAACTATGTGTCATTCCATTTACTGTATATAGTGCAGTAATACTCTCTATGAGTGTTTTTAACTGTATTAGATGGTGTTTATTATACATAATCTATTTTGTTAAACTGCATTTGGACAGTTTATATAATTTCTATGTACAAGCAGGCTTTCCACATCTCTATAAACTGTGTGTGTGTGAATCTTTTCTTTCTGGTTGTGAGAATTTTTTAAGGGGTGTGGAGGTAAATGAGGGGGAGCACGTGCTTGTTTACGTGCTGCTAAATATGCGGAGTCATGTGGGCGGTGTGTGTATTTCAGCCAGGCAGACAGCAGCAGGTTGATGAAGACACACCCTCGCCTGCTCATCCAGAAGGCAATGTGTGTGTGTGTGTGTTACTATTGATTTGTGTGCATCTATACAGTACACGTTTGGCTGTTTAAAGGTCCAGTAAGTGTGTGCTGTGTTGTTCAGCCTCAGTTTATGTTTGAGTGTGTGTGTGTGTGTGTGTGTGTGTGTGTGTGTGTGTGTGTGTGTGTGTGTGTGTGTGTGTGTGTGTGTGTGTGTGTGTGTGTGTGGGTGAGAGCATGCAGTGCCTCTGATCTGCTCTGCTGCATTGCAGCACGTCCCGCCCATCCCGAGGTCGCCGTCGTCCTCCGTCAGGGCACTCTTCCAAGGTCGCAGCAGGTCAATTCTCCCCATCTGCATACCCAGCCGATGCAAGGGTAAATCTATAAACACCACACCAAATCTGTCGGCTGCGAGAGCAACGGGACACCAGTCAGAACCAGAGCCGGAGATAACCATACTCAGGCTGCAGGGTCGCTATAATCTATCAACGTGCAGATCAGACATGTAATCTACCCAGATGACCGGTCGATCAACCGGAGAAAACCTGTCAACACAAGATGAACTACTGCAGCAGCACACATTCCACATGCAAATGCATTCAGCTGAAGTCCAATATACTGTAGTGACACTTCGACTTCAGAGCGTGGGGTCTCCGGTGGTATTTACTGTCAATCTGCTCAAGATAATAACTTGTATTTGAGCCGTCAATAGGCATATGTTGTCAAGGTTTTATGACCAAAATGTTATTAATCCATCATTGAACAAGAAGATTATAACATCATATGTCACTGACAGAGATAATGAGTAGAGACAATGGAGATAGATATTATTAAGTGCATTAAAAAGAACACAAAAGAAACAGGCACTTAAGGGTATGAATGGAAGGGCCAAAGTGAATACAACAATCCTTGACAGATTGACTCTTTTACTGAAAAGTAAAGTAAAGTTCAATGGCAGAAGAAAACATTTCAGCTGCCATGGATACAAGCAATTGGGAAATGAAAGCATAGAAGCCCTGGCCGCTCCTTAACATTACACATATTGTGAAGGTAAACCCCCAAAAAATGTCTTCGAGGATAAAGTCAGTACTGGTGGAAGTATGAAAACCATGGGTTCAGTCATACTGTTTGTATTCTTAGCAATATAAAGCAAACAAACATAAACATGAGTTATACTTCCAGAGTGATGCATTCCCAGTAGAGATGTATTGTCATCCTATCATCGGCTGTCGTCATTTTCAGCATCCAAATTCAACATTTGAGACTGGAGCCCTTCTCCAAGGCCTGAAAGGGAACAGCATTCTCTTCAACTGCATCAAAAATGAAGCTTGTTTTTTTCGACTTGACTCAGTCCCTGTGGCTCACCAGTCTTAACAAAAGCTTTGTCAGAACTCAGTGTTCCTCCTTCTGTGAAGAGCACTTCAGGGCATTGTAGTTTCATAGAGTACTTGGTGTTCACCCTGGAGCCTTCCTAGGAATCTGTGCCCTTCAGGTAAAAGTCAAGGTATCACTCTTTTTCACTCCCCCAGCAGACATATGCACCAAACACCAGCTGCAAACCTTTAGTGGCACCTTTAATTATGTCATAATAACTTCAATAGAAACCCTTTCCGTACATTTTTCAGACCGAAGCAGCTTCTGTCGTCTCGAATAGCGAGGTGACTTTGATAAGTACGCCTGTCCGTCTGCTATACATTTTTACTTAACATTGCATGTATAGCTGAAGCTTTTATCCAAAGCAACCTACAAACACTTCAATACTGTGTAGACTATACCAACAATTTGGGGTTCAGTGTACTGCCCAAGGACCTAACTGCTGACCTCTTGATTTGAAAATGAGCGCACCAGACACAGATGTTTCAGTTTCTCAGACTGAGAGAGGAAAGGGTTGAAAGTCCTCTGGCATTGATCACGCTGCTTCTCACATGCTAAGCGAGCGTTCAGCCATTTGAGCTAATTCCCCTCTACTTTTCTCGAACACATCAACTGACCCAAAGAAACTGAATTACATTTTGTGTGTTTCTTACCTTGTCGGACTGTTGTTGAGTTCAGAGATCTCAGCATTTGGTAATTGGTGAATGCAATACTATAATTGCCGACTAGAAATACATCCTTAACAATACAAATAAGAAAGAAAAAAAGACCTAAATTCTAGCAAAACTTTAAAAGTTGTAATAAAATGGAGTTACCCTTTAACCGAGAGAGGTAGTCCTGAGTTTGTCAAGTTAACCTGAGACTATAAGTCAATATAGGTTCACAAATACAGAAGTCAATTGAATTCCTCCTTCACAAATTATCATCATTAAAAAGTATACTGTTACTTCCAGAAAAAAATGTCTTCGTTCTTCATCAAACTGCTTATTTGAGCTGGATTGAGTCTCTTCCTTGTCTATTCAGAGGATTGTTGTTGTGTCTCGTCAGATTTGTTAGTATTATTTCTCTGTTTAGTTAATATTGTCAAGTCCGCGTCTGCTAACCCTTTTTTGTTGTCTGTCATTTCCTGTTTTACTTTGTTAATCTCTTCTCTCATTTCAGGTAGTTCGACTCCTACCTTGTCAGTGTGTGAACTGACCTGATTACCTGCCCCGCCCTTATTGTTTGCACCTGTAGAATCCCTTGTGTGTGTATTTATTCTGTGTTTTCTCTGTGCCAAGTGCCAGATCGTTTCGACCCTTGTGTTGCCTGTCAGCCAGTTGTGTTCTGTGCTACAGTGAATTTAGGTTAGCTTTTTGTGAAGTCATTTGAGAGTTTTGTATTACCTTGTATTTCACCACAAGTAAATCCTTTTTTTGAATCATCTTTTGTCTGGAGTCATGCATTTGGGTCCTATCGTTTTTGTGTGTGCCCCAGTCGTAACAATTCCCTGTCTGTTGTATTTATATTTACATTAATTTGTAACTTTTGTGGTGTCTTGGACAAGTCTCCAAAGAAAATACATTTTAATTTCAAGGGACTTCTTGGTTAAATTAACTTAAAGGTGGGGTATGTCATTTTGGAGAAACCAGCTCGAGTGCGCTATAATTTGAAAAACTGTCTCTTCCTTCAGACTTCCTCACAGAGCCCCTCCTCCAACACACACGAACGCGCACATGACCAATGAGGGCACGAGATAAGTTTGTGCACAGATGGAAAGCTGACAGGCAGGTAGGCCATCCAGTTATTTTAGCCGGGCCGGCTCAGATGATTGGTCGTGCTTTTTACTGCACCACGGCTTCCACAAATGAAATTTGTTTATGTATTTATTGTCAAAGCATTTCATATATTCATTGCTATCGGGATGTTAAGAGCATTCCATGGAATATAACAAAAAGTGTTTCTGAAATAAATTACTTACCCCACCTTTAAACAATACAATTTAAGAAAATAACAATTGGCCATAATCAAACAAAAAGCACCTTTTCGAGGTACAGCTTTTGACAGCTGCTTGAATCGCTTTGTGACCACGTCTCATGTGGCTTCAGGGAGCTGTTTGACAACGTGTGGCTTGTTGTAAAAATACTCAGCCTCAGCTGCTCTGCCAGGATGTTTGGGGTTTTATTACATTTACACAGCAGCAAGGATTTTAATGGGGCTTTCAATGATTGGTCATCTAGATATAACGGAAACAAACAAACACATCCTCCCTTTATGATTTACAGTAACACTGCAAAGTCTCAAATGTCTCCTACATGAAATAACCTCATTCATTTATGTAAATGTATGGCATCACAGCAAGCTCCATGTGGTGTGAAATGTAAACCACGTCAGACAGGCCAAGTGAAGGAACAGGAAGGAAGAAGAAAAACATTTATGATGAATGATTTCGCATAAGAAATGAAGAAACAATGTGCCTCATCTGCATGCTGTAGGTGAACATAAAAAAACCTAACTCCAGCGTGATCACAGGCTTTGCGTCACAACACAGCCTGGCAGTCTCACAACAAAGCGTGTTTAACGTCTCACCTCATGTAGGTCACCACCAAATAACGTCAACGCTACACGCATCTAAGACTCTTGGCTAATGACCCATCTCTAGTACAATAGGAGTTAATTACATCCTCTTCACACACTAAGGCTAATGGCCACGGAGAGATAACAGATCTCTCATTACTCGTGCTATATCTTTGCTGGAAT